GAGGAAGGGTGAGATTTTAGCTCTGAGCTCTGACTTCTCGGCTCTCTCTTTTACATTGTTTCTGTGTTTCTTATTTAATAAGACGGTTGGTTACATCTATACATTCATTTTTTCCAGGTAGTATACATTCAAATATTTTTGATTCTTTAGCAATTAAAATTTTATGAGTTTGAGTTTATTCTTTCCATGTATCATTTTGAGTACTTTGCTTTTCTTTGTCTTCAAGTTCAACAGATGATTTCCTCTATAGTTTAGAATCCATTATTAACAGAATACAGTATGCTTCATATCTCTGAATATGCATCTTTATCATCTAAAAGTTTTGCAATAGTATTTTTATATCTTTCATATATTCAATTAATAACTTTAACCCATGAGTTCAATTAATAAATTATTACACATATAGAATAAAGCCTTAAAACTATCTGAATATCATCATCTAGAGAACTTACTGTTTATGCCATTTTGGGGTCTGCTTCTGCTATATTTTCCTTTCACTGCATGTCATATTTTTCTCTCTTTGCGTATGTGGTAGTTCCTAATGGATATAAGACATTGTAAATTTTACTTTTTTGAGTATTAAATATGTAGCTATAGATAGATGACATAGATATAGATGATGTATAGATAATCTTGGGTGCTAGATCTCTTCAGATCCCTATATTCTTGAAGTTACTTATATGATACAATTAAAAGTTAGTTGAAATCCATGGTGGTTAGTGTTAACTTGACAGGATCTAGATCCAGCTGGGGATGAGCCTCTCCACACACCTGACATGGAAATTATCTTGGACCAACAATTATGCATGGAACCATTCTCTAACTGTGATCCTGGACTCTATAAAATAGAGGCAGGGAGAGCAAGCTGAGAATTTGGAAGTATGCATTTATCATACTCTGCTTCTTGACTGGGAATGCAATGTTATCAACTCCCCCAAGCTCCTGTGATTTCCCTACCAACATAGATAGGAACCTGGAACTGTGAGCTATATAAAGCCTTTCTCCCTTATGTTGATTTGGTCAGAGTATTTTAGCACAAAGACAGAAAAAGAAACTAAGCCAGAATCAATATCATTTTCACAGGGCTTGAGTTTATAGATGAGACTGAAGCAGTCTTAATATACTACAAATTTACATTTGCCTCTAACAATGTCTTTCTGATGACTTGACTTGAACCTCATTAGTCACAAGGTTTTCCATGATGGTGAGCAAGAAATTTACCTGGTCTTGGGTCGATTAAATATGAAAGTTTTGATTTTGTTATTTTGGTTTTTTTTCCCTTAATGTTTGATGTTTTTCCCTAAGCATGACTACTGTTTTGCTAGAGAACTGAAGAGGTTCAATAGACCTCTAAATTCTGCTCTAAATCTCTTACCATCTTACCTCTCTCTCTTCTCTCCATCTCTCTTTCCCCACATCCCCTCTGTGTGTGATTATACTCCTTTAAGCAGCTAGTTATTTCCAATGTCTGAAAATATTTCTTATATTTTCCAGGAATTGAATTGTTGATAGGAATAAGGTACATTTTAATTTTGCTTGCCCCATCTAAGCCAGAAGGAAATTCCTCAGATACTCTATTCATTCTTTAACATCTTCAAGTTTCCTGCCCTAACACCTTCTTTTCCTTGCCTCTCAAACAGCAACTCTGCTCAAAGCCATACGTACAATTTGATAACTGAAGGTCTCTTTAAAATTCATGCAAACCCATAACTACTTTCTGGCCTCTCTCTCTTCCCCTAAACTAACTCCTCACCTCCTAACACATGCTGCCCTCTATGTGCAGCATCTCTGTTTTCCTGGAACTTGCCCCTCAGGTGCTTCTCCATAAGTCTGTTCCCTCTTCTATAAATGATTATATATTCAGAGCTTTGTATTTAGTTGTCTTTTCTCCTGTCCCTATAGACTCTTCCTCATTATACTATTTTGGGGCTTCCATAGCACGAATACTTTCTAGATTCAATGATATAGTCCACTTTCTCACAGCTTTAATGCCTGGAAGTCCAAGATGAAGGTGCAGACATGGTTGAATTCTTATAAGACCTTCGTTCCTGGCTAGTGACTGGCCACACATTCACTGTTCACAGATGTCTTTCCTGTAAGACCATTCATCACTGGTACTTCTCCCTTTTCTTGTAAGGACATGAGTCCTCCTGTCTTAGGATGCTACCCTTAATATCATTAGCTTTAATTGACCTTCTAAAGACTTGAGTCCCAAGTACATTGAGGTTATGGCTTCAACACACAGATTTCGCAGGAACACAATTCAGTCTATAACACCAATGTTCTTCACCCTTCCCATTTACTTTACTTGCTGACTACTATAAATGCAATTCCAACCCCCAACATATACAGCTTCTTTGGACCACAAACATATATGCCTAAGTCCTTGTAGCTCTTACATTTGGATATTATGCCTGTACTTTACATAATATATTTAAAATAAAATCTCATTATCTAGTCTTTTTGCATCAACTTTCCTGAAGCACTTTCTCCAGAAATGGCATTCTTTCTTTGAATCCATCTATTGGAGGAATGGAACCAATTAATCTCCTCAGCCTCTCACATACCTTCTGAACCCAACTGTCTAGCATGCTTTATCCATATCTTCTTTTGTATCCACTGACTTGGCCGTATTCTCCGATGTCGTTACTTTTGTTTGAGTTGAACTATGCCTTGCCCCAGCATCTCATTCTAATAATACTCAACTCCATTGTTAAGATAATGCTATTAAGGACAAAGTGAAAAATATTATTTGCATAGCACTACTTTTTAAATATTTTGAATTGTTTTGACTTCAGCATAAACCCAAAGTCCATAACAGAATGCACTTTTATGACTTCATGTCTGTATGACTATGTAAGCTTTCTATGTACTCCTGTCATTGATAACACTTCAATAATCATATCCTGTATTCTATATATTCTATATTAAAGGATTATGATTTTTCAAGAGCATATTATTTTAATGAATGTACTTCTTCTTGGCTATTTTCCCTGGAATGTTTTATGTGTGTGTGTAGATGTATGTGTGTTCATATGTATGCAGATACAGATTTGTGGGGTGTACATACATGTGTGTACTTGTGTAGGTGGAATCCAGAAGACAATCTCAAATGTCACTTCTCAGGTTTCATCCATGCTTCTGTGTGTATCTGTTCCTGTGCAGGAGTGTGGACACATGCATGGAAGTCACTGAATAATATATGGTGTCTGTCTTCACTTTCCACCTTGTTTGAGACAAGATCTCTCTATTGTTCACAATTGCATTCTCCAGGCTAACTACAATTTTTTTTTTTGTTTTCCTACTTTCACTTTCTACCTCCCCATAGTAGTGCTGGGGTAACAGATGTGAATCACTGCGTCCATCTGTGTGTGGGTTCTGGGCCTCTGAACTCAGATCTTCATGCTCCTGCTGCAAAGCATTTTACCTATTGAGATAATGTCTTCAGCCAAACTGTTTTTGAGAGAAGGCCTCAAATAGCAGGCTAGGCTGGATAGTAAACCAGTTGTGGAGAACAGAACTCAATCTTTCATTCTTTCAAGACAAACACTGTACCAACTGGGCTGTCTTCTGGCTCTTGGAATGTTCTTCTCTAAATTACTTATTTTTTTGTCTCAAAATCCCAATAGGTATTTATTGAGCTAGCCATCCTCTGTTTTCCTTTACAAGTACCCTTCATGTTTCCTATCACTAATGATATTTATCATTAACTTGTCTAGACCTCCATTAGATATGATCTTCTGGAATATATATATACATATACATATACATATATATATATATATATTTCTTGATAACTAAATCAATCACAGAAGCAATTAAAAATAAGATTTTGTTGAAAATACATCTTCTTATTATTTATTTTATATACCACAAGTGTCTGCCTGCATGTATACAAGACTACCACATGTGTGCCTGGTGCCCAGGAATTTGGATTCTCTGAAACTTCAGTTACAGATGCTTGTGATCCACCATGTGGATACCAGAAACTAAACCCAGGTTCTCTGCAAAACAGCAATGTTCTTAGCCATTGAGGCACTTCTCCAGTTCCAAAGATACATTTTAATAAATAGAAGTGTGTGCTTAAAGCCATTGATTCAGATGCATTTGTTGGACTATAAGAGCTCTAGAATTTATTTTATGTACTGCACCACAAATGTGTTCTATATTTCTATATTTGAAAAAAATGTTATAGTATATTATTGAGAAAATAATAAGTAAGTTTTAATCAGCCAAAAATAATGTACAACAACTTGACTTTATGCAGAGCATTGCTTTATCTTTGATCTCACCTTAGGAATCACAAAGTTATTCAAATGCAGGTAGTTATAAAGACATCCAAGTTGATGTGATTCAGTTTGTCACAGTAATCAAGCATTTACAAGGCTATTCATCCAGGTTTCATTTCCAAGTCAGCTGCCTCATTACATGTTGTCCAATCCTCAAGAAATATTATTCTTTGCAAGGCCACAAGCACTATTAGAATCTTAACTCCACATTAAGATTTCATTATTGTTTAACTCCAACTCAGTAAAACTTTCCCTAACACTTCTTTTTTCAACCAAGTAATTCCTTCTAACATAAAGTTCCAAGACCCCCCAGACTCAACAGTTTCTTACCTTATTCTGCACAGACTCCAAATTTTCACAGCCAGTGGACTATTCCTTTACCGATTTGTTCTTTCTTTGTCTTTAACCTCCTAGGAGCCACCCTAGAGTTTCACCATACCTGCCAACTCCAAGGGTAACACTGTTCCTTTATAGGTAAGATCATTACTGTCATACAGGCTGGCAGGCATGGGAATCCAGTATAGAAAAGAAAATTCACAGTCTGAAATCTAAACACGCATTAAGACCTCTGCCTAATGAAGCCCTCATCCACTACACAAGTTTGCAAGGGGCATTTTCAGGACATCTTGATTTAAATGTATGAATCATCATGAAAGTCTGTGCCAACAACAGTTATGGCCAGGTGCTTCCCCAGTCACAAGGCTATTGCCACTAGAATCTTCCTGGTACGTGAGGAAACCACTCGGACTCTTGAATGCACTATGGCATTTCAGACCTTAGAGCTCTTCTCTTACCCTAGCAACTGGGGTGTTCCACTTTTCAGGCTTCCCTACTGTCCAAGACAAAGCCACATCTTCAGAGTCAAAGGGACATTCTCTTTGTCACTTCTTTGACCTAGACCCTGAGTTTCACAACCGTCATTTGAGTTTCTAGTTTGATACATAGCTTCATCTCATTAAAACCTTGCTTTGACTGTTCATTTTATGAATATATTTGACAGGCTAATGGGATACTCAGATTTTTTTAAAGTATCATTCCTGGGTGTGTATGTGGGAGATATTTATAGTAGATGTGAAATTTGGAAACCCAAATGGGTCAAAAAACACAGAGGAAGCAAAAATCTCTGCCACCCTCTCCTACTCTCTGCATGAGCTGGCACACATATCTTCTGCTTTCCCATTGAAATTGTTCCTTGGGTCTCTTGGTTTCTTGTCTATGGGCTTGGGCTGAAATGCGTACCATAAATTCTCCTGATTCTCAGATCTATGAACTCAGACTGGAAGTGTATACAAGTTCTCCTCAGTCCCCAGCTCGACGTGTAGGGGTTACAGAACTCAAACACCATAGTCAGTCAGGGTAATTCTATCCCCTTCTCTCTCCTTTCCTTTCTGTTCTCCACTATTCTCCCCTTACCCTCCCTCCCCATTTGCTTTATCTGTTCTCTCTCTCTCTCTCTCTCTCTCTCTATATATATATATATATATATATATATATATATATATATATATATATATATATATCTTTAGTCTATTCAACATCTGTTGTATTTCTGAACTTCTTAATGATTCTGGCAATTACAGATAGCTACTACTCCATGTTTAGGCCACATTATCCAATATACACTATAATGAGAGGACATTTTTATTATCTGGCAACTACTCCAAGGGAATATATAAATAAAATATCTTGTTTCCCAACAGCTTTTCATTAAAGAAGAACAAATAGAATAAGCAAAACCATGATGTCTGTGCACTGTTAGTACTAGCTATGATGCATATAGGCCACTATGAAGAAATCAATAGGTAATTTGAAGATGAGATCAAGACAAGAAGGGATAGAAAGCATTAAAAAAATTACATAGAGGTGATGTTTAGACTTAGATATACGTGTGTGTGTGTGTGTGTGTGTGTGTGTGTGTGTGTGTGTGTGTAGAGAGAGAGAGAGAGAGACAAATTGGAGGGCATTTGGGATAGGTACACATGTAACAAGACACCTTTCCACTTGCAGAACAGAGGCTGGCTTATATGACAGATGGTAGAGCACCAACTAAAGAAAGAATTTCCAGAAAGTCCTTGCTCTAGTAATTTGGGTGACTGGGTAGATGACAGTGCCTTAAATACATTATTACTTATATTGTTTTTTATTAATAAACCTAAACTCTTAATCTTGACAGATAGAAGTTCTGCCACTTGCCCAGCCTCCTCTGTCATGAGGTCTTGCCAAACAGTACATACCTTTTCTTCCCAGCTCAGGATCCTCACCTACCCTTCCTTTCCTAGACAAAATTCTCTCTACAATTTCATAGCTACCTTCACAGCCTAAATTTCTCTTGTGTAGGGGCCAGGGGCTTCTCTGACCTCCCAGAGGGGAATAAATTAGCCAATTGGATATTTTGATAATATCTTCAAATTTAGTTTCACAACTTCAGGGTATGTAGCTATGTAACCTTACCTCAACTGAAATTCTATAACCATTTTTCTAAATATATACTCTAACACATATCTCTCAAAGTTCTGTATTCTTTATTCACTGTCTGTAGGGCTTAACTCGGTATTAATTACTTAGAAGGGCTGTATACAAGGTAGAGAATGACAAATTGTGAAAGGAATACAAAGCCTTGGAAGGAGAATAAAAATTTAGAGATAAACATAAGATATTTGTAGACCATCTATGTAAAAATATTCAAAAAGCAACTGTTTTCTCTTTGGAATCTTGGGATTTTCATTTCAGCATTCAGGTAGGACTTTAGGCAGAGTACAAATGTAAAACTCAAACTGATTTGATTATAACACATGGTATATGTGCATTTAATTATCACATTATGCCATATAAATATGTATAGCATATTAGTTTAAAAAAATAAAATATCACCCCTCAGTATCAGAAAGAAAAAAAGGAAGGGCTGAGAAAATACAAATCCTAAGAGTTATGAGAGTTGATGAAGTAAAAGAGAGGGGAGGAAGGAAAGCAGAAGGAAAGAAAGAAAGAGAGAAATGGAGGGAGGAAGGAAGAAAGGAAAGAAATGGGAAGGGAGCAAGGAAGGAAGGAAGGGGAAAAGGAAGGGAGGGAGGGAGGGAGGACAGAAAGAAGAAAGGAAGGAAAGAGGGATAGAGGGGATATTGAAGGGAAGGAAGAAGGGAAATGGGAGGAAAGGGGTTATCACTAGGAATAATAGAAGAGGCTTGTTGAAAAATGAGACCTGGCAGAAGTAGCCTAAGAGGTAGGAACAAATTTTCCAAAGAAGGGAAAGTAATAATGCAAAATATTAATAATATCAGTTAATAAAAATGATTTTTACACCTCAAAAGAAGTCAGATGAGGTTATAATATATAGAGTTAGATCTTGCAATTCCAAGAGTCACTGACAACCACAAAAGCAAACACTTTCAGGGAGCTGTAGGAGAAAAGTGCAGCATAGTAATTCATGGCCTCAACCATTTCTCTTACAGACTGTAAACATTGAGCCCTGCACATGTTAATGGAGATGCATCCAAAGGGAATAGGAATGTATCATATGTTTCTTCATGGAGTTCAATGCACTAAGACCAGGGCATAAATTAACTTTGCTACAAGATAAGCAGCTATGGCCTTACCTACTAATTCCAAGGAGGTATTTATTTCACCTGTCTGACTCCTCTAGGCATAAGTTATGAACTCCACAAAATAGTGTAAAAATGGTATAATAAGTTACAGCTGTCAATACAAGAGGGCTACTGCACTCTTAAATGACTAGTCCACTCTGTAAGATCATAGACATAATGAATTAGAAAAATTCAAGGTGATAGCAATAAAAATAAGGTATGTTTGCTATAATCAAAAAGTGAGGTTTTCAAAACTGGATAAGTTTTAAAAGAAGAATTTGTAAGTGGAAAACATCAAAGGAAATGTGAGTAAATACTAACCCCCACTTCCATCTCTGTGGCTTGAAGACAGGAGAGGGAGCATCCTCCACCCAGTGTTGCAGCAATGTCTAACAGCAAAGCCTGTGAAAGGAGAGCTCTGTTTTCATAGCATTCCTTCTCTGACAAAATACCTGAGTTAAATCAATGCAACAGAGCAAAGATTTATGTTTAAAGATGGTTTCAAGGTTTCAGGCAATGGTTCCCTTGTCCTCATCTCTGCAGGCCTCTCACAGACAGAAAATCATGGTGGGTCAACGTTGCTCACATCATGAAAGCCAGCAAGTAGAGAGTGGGGAACTCAGAAACAAGAGATAATCCCCAAGAATGGGACTCAAGCACCTTCAACCAGGTACATCTCTTAAGGTCTCACTACTCCTAAACAGCCCATCAAGTGATCATCCATAATACTAATGACACCCAAGCCCTTATGACATAATCACTGACCCACATCCCTACTTCTACACACTGCTGCATTTGAACACATCCTTCAACACATGAGCCTTCATAGGACATTTCAGATCCAAACTATCTTCTCTTAACCCTACTAACTATCTGTCTCCTAGCTGCCAATCAACACTCAGACTTTGCTTGTTGCTCTGGTTACTCTATTATGAGATCATACAGAGCAATGAGCCCCCAAGCTGCCATCCAGATTCTTTTCTGCTTTTATCTAGTGTTCATAATTTTGATCCTAACCTATTAAGAAATGCTAATAACCAGGCATATTCTCACACCAGTGTTCTCCTAAACTCCTTGAGACATCCCACCACCCTACATGGTAGCTTCTTGGGCCTTTCTTCCAAACTCATTTCTTAGTACATTTTTAAATAATTTTATGAAACAAAAAATATCTTTCTCCCTTATTTCTACATATTTCATTTTTTGGAATAACAGAAACTTTCTTTGGAGATGGCAAACCGCAATATTTATTTATGGAATTCCATCTGGTACCAAGCTACTTGCCAATAGAAAGGTGACAAACATAGTTATTTGCCAACTTTAATTCAATATATTCTTATGATGTCTTTAGTAGCCACTAGACAAAAAAGTTTTCCTTTACCTTATTGTGAAGTTTAAGCCTTCTAAAACAGAACTCTCAAGCTTTTATACACTTTATATTCTATAAGTATTTAGAGTTTAGTACAAAGTATAATATCCAAGAACAAAAAAGAAAATGCTATTAGATAAAACAATACCTGGTGACACAGGTCCATAATCTCAGTTTCACAGGAGGTTGAGGCAGGAGGATCCCCAGTGAGAAGCTTCCCTGAGTTACAGGGTAAATTTAACACTAGCCTGAACCAAGCACCTTATTAAGACCCTACCTCAAAACAGAAAAGAAAATCAAGGCTAAGGCCTATTGGATGAAAACTGGCCTATTAAGCACAAGGCCTTAGGTATTTTATATTTAATATTCAGTACCACAAAAAAAGAAAATAATAAAAAGAAGTCAATGATCTGTTATCTATTTGTCAACTATCAGTACCCAGTGTGACAACGATAACTTTACTGGGTGTGGTGGCATGTGCCGGTAGTCTCAGTACTTAGAAGGCTGAAGAATGACTGCTGTAAATTCAATGCCAC